TCACAATAATCAGCCACCAAATCACAATAATCAGCCACCAAATCACAATAATCAGCCACCAAATCATAATAATCAGTCACCAAATCATAATAATGAGCCATCAAATCATAATAATCAGCCACCAAATCAAAATAACAAGTCACCAAATCATAATAATGAGCCATCATATTAATCGCATAAAATACCAAATCAAAGTCACATCAGACACCAAATCAAAGTAATGTACTTCCTTGGTCATAAGCCCCTCGCTGGGTATAAGCCACCCCTCTATTTTCAGACATTTCACAAGTTGAGGACATTCCTGGTTATAGGCCCAAGATGTTTTTACCAAAAATTATAAAAATATTTACTAAAATTAGAGAATTGAAGATATCATCACGAAATGAACAAATCTGAGAGAGGTCCAGTGTAGTACCTATATATGTAATATCAAAGCAATTGAACCTGCTGCTTTCAACAAGAAGTCGAAAATATCACTTTTTAGCAAAAATTACCAAAATAGAGAATTGAAGATATCATCACGATAAGCCCACCCCTTACTTTCCTCGATTTTACATGTAGAGGCCACTGGGCACATGACTGGGAAATTTGATCAACAAATATGTTGGCCAATTCCTTACACGTAGTAAATAAGCATACTCCTCAAAAGTGGAATCTTTGGAAAAGATTAACAAGTATACTAACCTTTGAAGTAAGCTCTGCCTCTTGTGGTAGTGTATCTCTCAATGCACATAGTCCATGTTTTACAAGCTCATCTGAGGAATCTGAACATAATAAAAAATGTTTGTATAAACAAGACATGAATGTCACAGTCCCCTTTATTTAATTATAAAATACTCATGTTAAAATAATACATGGAACATCTGCAAACAATATGAATTAATATGTACTCTATGTGGGTACAACTCATCATAAAGTGATTTCCCTTAAGGCAGCGAGAGGGGAAACGCAAGTTATACAGTACTCATTTTGCCCAACCTCCCGCCCGCTTTTTTCCCGCTCGCTTTGTTCAATTCGACCGGACAATTTCCGCTTTTTTTCGACCGCGCAAAGTATTCGCTCGCTCGCTCGCCTGACAGCGCAACCACCCACATTTACAGTTCATTACCTATTGTTCCATGTACAAGTGTATCATTTTTGTTTTTATGATGTTAAAAGAAGAATAAATACAATCAGAAATTTATAGAACGCCCGTTGAAAAAATACGGTGGATCACACTGCCATATAAAATTGGTAATAATACATACGCGTAGTAATAATGTCCACCATAAACAAGATCGAACCAAACATGTGAAATCAAATACGACACTGACACAACTAATATGAAATAAAACTATCTATTTTTGGTGGAGAACGAAAAATGTCTACTGTAGAGTATGGTATTCATTGAGTAACCGTGTGTAGAATAACTGTTGCCTTGCACGCATGGTTTGGGTTTAACGCGGGTCAAGTTGAAGTTATGTAAATCTATGGCACCTATAACAATTGAAGAATATCTGCAGGAATAGTAAGACTGTGAAAAAAACGACCAATCGATTGTTATAGAATGACCATACTGTACAATTTGTCAAACAAATACAATAAGTGCAAATGTAATGTCGACCGGCGCCCATCTTACTTGTCCGAAGTTATCGAAGCCGACATCAATGGAGATCGCGTTTTTAAACTAGGCGGCTGGCAAGCGGACTAACACGTTACATAAACTTGTTGAATTACAATTATGGTTTATATTTTTGCGCCCAATGTCTCGTTATAAAATAAAGGATTCAAATTTTGCAGGGTATTTCGTTTTGTGAACTCTGGGCGAAATATTTTCATGAGCTGTACGTAAGTTCACTTACAGCCAAAAGAAAGTCAGCTTGGACATTAAGTTGTGAGACGCGACAAAACAACTCTGCCAGTGATAGATTTCGTGAATAAAAGAATAAAATAAATGCAATCAAAGGCGCCGACCACACGCGTTGGAAATAAATAGAACGCGTTGCTAAGAGGAATCGCACCTGCATCTCGACGACGTCTTGGAAAAATTGAAAGATCAGTCTCGGGGAACCATTGACAATGTTTGCATGAAAAATCCCACTGAATACTCAGTTACAAACACTATGGTACCTGAATCCCGATTAATTCATAAATATGAATCGGTAAGGGTCAACTTCCTGCAATCCTTCAAGATAGCCTTGAGTGGAGATTGAATTTGCCTCCGAAAATCTTTCTAAAGATGACCTGGAAGATTGCCATGATTGAGTGCCACAATTTCTGTTTTAAGATTTATTCGGTATAATAATACAAATGTTCACCCGTATACATCTAACTGCATCATCGCTAAGTTTCCTTGGTGGACCACGAGCTCTGTTCCTTGTTTGCACGTTATCATGTTCACACAATCGCAGACATTATTTGTAAGGGTGCCCTTTGAAATGGCACATTTTCTTGATGTTTTAGCGAGTATTCCGCGGGGTATATGGCTTGTTCTCACATTAGCATAATTTTCCTCGAGTTCACTCATCGCTTTCCCACATGCATTTCTCGTTCTTTGCTGCTAACTTTTTTTGCACTCTAATATGTTGTTGTTTTTGTCATTCTAAACATCAAGTTTATTTTTTATTAAAATTCAACGAGATCGTTTGAATTTGACGACGATTCGAATTTATCCACTTTTACAGTGATCAATATTGCGTTCGAGTTTGAGTTACCAGTAATTACAAGCCTGATTTACATTTTTCTTGCGGTGTTTTTCGTCAATGTATTAAATATAAGTGCTTTGGGAAATAGCATAATTATATTGCTTAAGTGAAAGAGTCTGATGAGGCTGTGTCACAACACGTTTTATTTATTTCCAACGTGCGTCGTCGGCTCCTCTGATTGCGTTTATTTTGTATTTTTATTTTCGAAATGTATCACTGGCTGCGTTTGTTTTGTTTTACGTTTTCCTCTCTTTCATTTTTCGTCCGGCTGCTGCCAATCCAACAATTCGTCGCCGCATGTACTCAGACAAGCGATTAATCGTCACAGTCATTATACTAGTAGTTTAAGTCCAATTGATTTGTAGAACTTCAGCTATGCGATGATTATATGTGCAGTTTTGTTTTGCGCACCCAGACACGAGCAAAAGTTAACCCTATAGATTTTCGGAACTACAGCATTCGTATTACTTATGCAAATTGAGTAAGGGTCATAGTGTGAGTTGCGTTCGCAAATAACAAAGTGTCAAATTATTTTGAGAGCCGTTCAGAATAAATTTAGTCAAAACCACACACAGAAACACACACACAACACACAAATACTAGTACTCAATACATATCACGATTGATTGACCAGTTATATAGCTGCTTGAACTGGGCACACAAGGACGTAAATATGTATATACAGGTAACAGTTTGACTTGCGTAGCAAACGTTACAATGTGTCAAGTGATTTGAAGGCGTCTTTGTCGCCCTTCCCAATATACAGAGAAGCAATACGCGTTGTATTTTAAATCGTCATTAAAACCTAAATTTAAATTTAAATTTAAAAACACAAGTTTATAGATACAATGTACGATCATCGTTACTCCAGCGGTCAGTTGGCAAGCGGACAATGTTTCTGAAGCCAGCATAGCAAGAGCGAGCGAACAAATGCGAGCGAACAAGAGCGAACAAAAGCGAGCGAGCGAAAAAAAAGCGGTTGGTTTCCGGTCGGAAAGCAGCGAGCGGTCGGAAATTAAGCGATAAGCGGTCGGAAAAAAAGCGATAAAAGCGGGAGGTTGGGCGGAATGAGTACTGTAGTTTAATTGAGATTAGGACCTTCCTCGCCGGTTACTAAGCATGCAGTTATGGCAATGCACATGTTTTCAGAAAGCTGAGATATAGAATACGATCATATATGTTTCATGTTAATATTTGCTCAGGTGATTAAGTTACGACCGTTCCCGATAACCTCCTAAACATAGTGTTCCTTTTTCCTATGTTTCTGATCTTTTCACTGTTGCTTTATAGGATAATGATCTTTGAAAATACGTCTCAGAATTTTTATGTGCCTCATAGTTCTGGAGATATAGTCCGTTGAACATTATGGACTAAATTTTATGAACGTCTCCATGTTCTCATGGCCGTAACTCAAAGTCAACGGCTCACATATACGTCCATGAGACATCATATATTAGCCCATTTTGTGGTGAATAGATTGTGTAATTTGTACATCATTTAGCATTAAGAAAAGAGTTAAAAGATGACATCTTCAATAGTTATGATAGTCAAAAATTAGTTTTCGTAAAAACTCAATAAAAAGGTTTCTTCGAATTTGGCCTCTAATTAATTACCAAAAGTCTACCATTTTGATCATATTTTATAAATATACAAGTATCTGATCTGCAAGGACTGTTATATCGTGAAAAAATGGTTGTGTTTTTTTTATATAAAAAGTGACAAAACTTAACAGTTTCATCAAAAGTGGGTGCTAACTTGAACAAGATGGCGTACCGCGCAATTAATTTATTGAAACCCCTTTGTTATGTTGAACAGCGTCAACAGTACAATCGATTCTCTAAACAAAAGGCAGGCCATCATATATTTACTCGTGGGATATACATGCCTTCAAGTACAGATATGCTTGCATTACTTTCTGTCTATGGAGAGTGTACTGTTATCGTATTCGTTATAATCAATTAGCACCAAGTCAGCACTGTTCTTTTTTCCTCCCGATGAAAAATGAAATGTAGCGTAGTGGGATGGTAGGAGGCGGTAATTCCATGTAACTATAGTAAATTTACGCATTGTGCGACGACCCTTTCCAATGCAACGAGCAGCGATTACCAACTTACGGTTTACATCGAAAGAATGTCCACTCTTTTTCAAAGCCAGAAAAAAAATCAGTCGTGAAGTTGCATTTATGTACTTATCGTAAAGATGACTCCCCCAGCCATGGCGAATGTTCGTGTTTTCTGCCAAAACAACATTCCCCTTTTTACAATAACGACACATCAATATATCACTGCCAATTTTATTTACAGACTGTAATTCTACCATGAAGCAGTGTCTGTATCCAGGATTTTCATATCGTCGTCATCGTTGTCTGAACTGTCGGTGTCACCATGACAATCACTCAGGACAATTTTTTGCGCAGAACCTTTGTTGTTACTGTTGATAGTATTGTCTTCAAACCACTCTGCGGGCTGACTATAATACGAGTCAAGGTCACTTTCATTTAGATGTCTTTTTAACGGTGTCAGACATTTTTCAGCGGCCAGGTTTTTTACATTTTTAGAACTCCTTCCCATGATTATATTATGTTATTAAATAAAACACAGAGAAAAGCTTAAAATTCTATATCGTAATGTTTGTTTGTGCTTTGATCGCGATCGCGTAACGGCCACTATTTATAAATTACACAGGATATAATAAAGCTGAATGGTCCACAAATCAGTATGCAAATTAAATCCTTTGTCTTCAGTCTGTCACTCAACATGATATGTAAATGTATAGAGGACACGTTTTCCACAACTAGTAATTACGCACAGTAAATTTGGACCAAAGATAAAGAAAGTACACAATATAATGTTTCATGATCTGAAATTTTTTGAAAAATGTTTTTTTTTTTTTTTTTTTTCTCCCGCTATCTTAATCTGATAACTGAAAACTTTCATTGACCCGGGTCCAAAATCTCAGAGTACACAAGTGCAACCAAACTGTCTCATACATGCTCAAGAAACTGCATTCATAAATCTGAGTAAACCTTGATGTACCTTCAATAACAACTAGACTTCTTTGTTAATTCAGGTCTTTATATATTACCAGGACCTGGGTTTGTTTCATTATCACCACTATAATTCCCATCAAAATGTAGCTCTGACATCCCTTCATATTTTCCACTGAGATTGGTAATGATACCCATCTGTCACTAATTCAGATCAAAGTAATGACCAGGTCATGACATCACTAAAAGCCTTAGCATTACAATCTAAGCTAATTATTTATTTTGAGCATGCTCAGTTGCACTGTCAGTGCAGTAGAGAGAGGTAATTTTGGATGAAACCAACATAGGATTTTCAGATCTCAGAAAAAAAATTACATGCATAATCGGCAGAGACTTGTTCATCAATCTGCCAAGTTTCATCGATATCTGCTGCAGAATTTCTGAGAAAATGTTAGAGACGTCACAGACGGAAAATTGAAATAAGAATTAATAGTCCGTCTGTCAGGCTGTGCCTGAAATGGGGATTAATAAGAAATCAATGCAGAATTAAAAATAACTAATAATTCTTGTTGAATTAAAAATTAATTTTTCAAATTTGTTTTTATTTTATTGGTAGCGAAAGTATATTCTAAACAAAGTTTCAAATAAAAACGAACACAACTGAATTGCTTAGTGTAGCAAACGATCACAGTTGCGCAATCCGACCATGCTGCGTTTCACAATTGTTGATTATTACTCAGTAGTGATTATAATAAAGCACAAAAAACAAGTCATTGAAAATGACACAGTCCTCGTTAAGTTCTTTTTGTGCTCATCATATTAAAGCGGAGGGTTGTCGCGTTGTTCTTGAAACTTGAGTTCCAAGTGTCGTATACAACAGATTGTTTATTTACATCAAAACATGTGTTTCGTGTTGTAGTAATATGGCCAAAATAAAAACAGCCGTTATTCGGCCATCTTTGGTCTGATTATGAAACACACTGATATGTATGATGTATGTGCCAATTACGAATGAAAATGGTACATAAATTATGGAAATATAGTAGTAAGGCCAAAAAGTCAGATGGCTGTCAATCGGCCATCCTTGACCAGATTTTGAAACAAATTGTCATGGACATGCATCTTAACATGTATAAAGTACATGTATGTGCCAAATTTGAATGAAAACTGACAGAGCACATCCAAGATTAAAAAACAAAAACAAGATGCCTGTCAGTCGATCATCTTTGATCCAATTGCGAAATATATCGCCATGGACATGTATCCGGACATGTATAATCTATGTACCAAGTTTAAATGACAACTGACAAAGCATGTTCAAAATACAACATTTTCAAAAAACAAGATGGCTGCCAGTCAACCATTTTGAATCCAATCGCTAAACCACTTCATGTGCATATGTCCCACATAAGGTACTAGGCACATGCAAAGAATGAACGGAAACGGTCCACAGGATTCTGAAATATGACGTTGAACAGACTGACGCACGAACAGACTAACGGACTAACGGACGGACGGACAGAAAGACTCAGGAACTCATGGAGGGTTGGGACATGTATCCTAACATGTATGATCTATGTACTAAATTTGAATGAAAACTGACAAAGCATGTCCAAAATACAACATTTTCAAAAAACAAGATGGCTGCCAGTCGGCCATCTTTGATCCAATTGTGAAATAAATCGTCATGGACATGTATCCTAACATGTATAATCTATGTACCAAGTTTGAATGAAAACTGACAAAGCATGTCCAAAATGCAACATTTTCAAAAAACAAGATGGCTGCCAGTCGGCCATTTTGAATCGAATCGCTAAACCACTGCATGTGCATATGTCCCACATAAAGTACTAGGCACATGCAAAGAATGAACAGAATCGGTCCAAGGGATTCTGAGATACGACTCCGGACGGACGTACGCACGAACGGACGGACGGACGGATGGAGACCGAATTATAAGTCACCGTTTTCATACTTCGTCCAAACTGGGACTAATAAATTTGTTGAATTGTTATGAAATGCAAATAAAATTCAACTTAGTTTCATCGTAAGCAAATGATTTCGGTCGCATATAAACGCTTGATGCTGTAATGTATCCGCCATGTCCTTTCTCTTGCATGAATTGACCTAATAGGTCAAATCGCAAATTGACCAATCAAAATACTGGAAGATGCCAACGTGTTCAAATTACCATAGCTCATTTAAATATGTTAATGTTATTGAACGCAAGACGGAAGAGATTTGCCGATGTTGTAGTACGATCTTTTGGCTTGTATTTGAAGCATTGGCTTCAAATAGACAAAGTATGTTAATTAAGACAGACTTCATCGTTTGTACTCCGAGTGAGACACTGTTCTTAATCGTCCTAGCCTACCGGTATGTATTTTTTCAACTCGCTTTATCTTGTTCCTGTACAACAGAATAAATGCGTGTTAACCATTAAAACATTGCACATTGGTATACTGCTTAATGCATCTACAGTCTATCTGGTGAGATTTAAAGACCTTACTGCTTGTGGCAGTCCCCCAAAAAATTCCAAAAACCAGTTACAATGGAAGCACAAGCCCACCCTCTGTTTTTAGACATTTAACAGGTTGAGGGCATCCCGAGTATAGGCCCAGAGTGTTTTTACCGGGCGTCAACAACATTTATTACAATTATGCATGTAAAAAGTGTATTTAATTGCATGATAATTGTGATTGGTACGGTAGTTTGGTTCCTGCTTTTACGAGAAAACTCGCATTTAATTTCAGAGTGCATGGCCGGCGAATGTACGGAACATGGTTTGCACCAATCTGATTAAAATCTGATGTAGTGTACGGACTTTAATTATTTTGCCTATAAACTTATTTTAATTTTATTTTTTATTACTTTTGTATTAATGCCTTTTTATTTTATTATTATTTTACTTTGATTTTGGTTTTGTGATTTTTTTAAATTCCGCATTACATACATGTACATCTGACCCGATGCCTATGTAACGAGATTTCAACGAGACCCACTATTGACGATTTTAGTCAACAAATCACAGACCTCCTTCTATAGCGCACATGATGACGTCACCGGGCAAAGTCAGGTGGCAAACACACTCAAATAAAATGGCGGATTATACAGACATTAGCGACCGAGAATCGTTGTGTCGTCACAGGAAGTGCTGTCCCAGCACAGATGGAAAGGCTGCCGACCTGCAGCGACAACGGACCGAGAATAACACAGCTTTTCGGTAAGTTTATCATTGTCAAATACAACGAAAGTCATTTTTATGTGTGTTTAATGTACGAAGTACGTTGAACATTATTTGTGACGTTTATCTCGCGTTATATCTCATAGACTCGCGTGACTAATTGATTACATGACGTCATTAGTTTGTTGTTTCGCCATCTTGTAACACTAGTTTGTTCGCGCTACTCTTCAGGAATTTATCACAATTTTAATTCCTCATTCCACGTCATGGAGAACACTACTAACGTTAGAAGAAGAGGCAGGAAGCGACGCACGGCCGGTGAACAAGAGCCACAAGTAGCAAACTCTCGTCAAGAAAGAGTCGAAGTTACCCCAAGTCGTCCGGGGCCCTCGACTCGTTCATTAGCAAGGCAACGGTGTCCTCGAGTTTTGGACCAAGA